AATCGCACTCATAATAAGCTCACAATAGCTTCGACAGGGCAGTGCTAATATTCTTTTTCAATGAAAGAAAATTATTTTCCTGAAGCAACAAGTGTTTCCACCTGCTTATAAAAACTTTACTCATTCCCATCTGCAGCATGTATCGGCCGCCAGGCACAGCAGAATCAAAGCATGAAAAAGTGATGTAATGCTATTGGTCCCCTGTTCAGCGCTAGCCTGCTCTGCAATTCTACAACACGAGATGCGAAAACGTCTAGCGGCCTGCACCGTAAAGATAATACAAAAAATTTTCAGAGAATTGTCGGGGATATTTCATTATATATAACATTCCCACGTAATATTGTCATTTTCACCTAACTATATAACAGGGGGATTGTGTGGTCAAGGAAAAGTTCGCCTTAGTTGTTGGTGTCCCCAGCGTGCAGGCAATAGGGACCACTGTCGAAAGCCCCCTTACCTCTTCGCAATGGAGGGCTGGGGCCCCCGTCGCGTCCCCTGGCTGATACGTCTATGGTTAGCTGCCATATACGCTGGAGTTAATTTATGTAGCAGTGTCCATGGCGACCATGCTCGTGAGCACTAGCGCTTCACACTAGCTTATCGCTACTAGTGTTGCTATAATACTTATCTCCCTGTTGACATCGTTGCGAAAGCGCACACAACTGCGTGTACAAACATATGCAACTGTTCTACAAATGTCTGCGTGTGCAACAATTATACGTATATTTAGCGTCATTTGATGACGTCGAATAATAAAATAAATTTAACATTGCCATTTTCCCTCCAAATGCTTCACAAAACGTCGATTCCCTGGGTATATGTGTTGGCTGGTTGGTAACAACTTTATTGGTAGTGCGGCAGAGCTTTCGCCGAACGGGCGTTAGGTCCCTCGCGTGGGGACGTCAAGACCTTGCCTGACCGCCGCATCACGGGCCTGCTTGACGGCCCGGAGTTAGTCGCCAAGGCTGGAGCTGCACAAAGCAGCGGCCCACCGTGGTGGAAGGGTTCTGGATTATACAGCTTCCGAATTTTTGGTACAATTCTAGAGCATCTGGTTTAATTTGGCTATCTCAATACAGCATATCTTCGTCGGATATATTGTCACGGGGTCGTGACGGGGATGTATGGAGCACACTGCGAGTCGAATAATAAATTGTTTATTTGGGTGAACCTGTGCCCAGTTAACAGAAAGTCGGACTACAGTAGCAGTCTTGGACTGATAGCGGCAAACGGAGCGTCGGCCATCGATCAACAACTGACAGGCATTTATACTCTTGCCATCGAATGTTCTAGCTTTATCGCTGGCGATGGCGTAGGTTCCAGAACAATCTGTACAGTTCGCAAAGTGGGCGTGATCTTATCGAAATGATCTACTAAAGTCCGGAAGCTTCTCAAAAACTGCAGGCACGGTTCGCAGTGAGAATTGTGTAGTGTTTTGGGGCGATAACAAAACTTGAGAAATGGAACGTGGCATTGCCCGCCTCTGAAAAAGGCATCGTCCCGATGCTTTAACTAAAGATGAAGGTACAACAATGATGCAAGAAAGTACGATGAATAAATTACGATACAATAATAATACAAAAAAACTGTTTCAGTTTGTTAACACGAATGAAATGGCTTGAGGTGTGCGACATGGACGACTTCAGGTCGTGATCGGCGTCGTTAAGAGTTCGTGATGCCGTCGGAGACAACCTCGTAATCAAGTGGGCCGAGACGTCGAACCACCCTGTATGGTCCGAAGTACCGTCGCAGAAGCTTTTCACTTAGTCCACGTTGGCGTATCGGCGTCCACACCCAAACACGCTCACCGGGCTGGTATTCCACGAAGCGTCGTCGAAGATTGTAACGGCGGCTGTCGGTCGTCTGTTGATTCTTGATACGGAGGTACTCACTCACATCGAGGTTTTCTTCGTCGGTGACGTTGGGTAACATGGCATCGAGCGTCGTTGCTGGGCTCCTTCCGTAGACCAATTTGTATGGAGATATCTGCGTCGTCTCCTGCACCGCCGTGTTGTATGCGAAGGTCACGTACGGAAGAATGGCATCCCACGTCTTGTGTTCGACATCGACGTAGATTGCCAGCATGTCGGCAATCGTCTTGTTTAGCCGCTCGGTGAGGCCGTTGGTCTGCGGGTGGTACGCTGTCGTCCGGCGGTGGTTTGTCTGGCTGTATGTCAAGATCGCTTGAGTTAGGTCAGCAGTAAATGCCGTTCCTCTGTCGGTGATAAGGACCTCCGGGGTGCCATGACGTAGGACGATATTTTCGACGAAGAACTTAGCTACCTCGGATGCACTGCCTTTTGGCAGGGCTTTTCTCTCGGCGTAGCGGTTGAGGTAGTCGGTAGCTATCACGATCCATTTGTTTCCAGAAGCCGACATCGGAAACGGCCCCAGTAGGTCCATACCAATCTGCTGGAAAGGTCAGGGAGGTGGTTCAGTTGGCTTCAGAAGTCCTGCCGGCCTTGTCGGTGGTGTCTTGCTTCGTTGACAGTCCCGGCATGTCCTCACATAAGGAGTGACGGTGGTAAGACGTGGCCAATAGTACCTTTCTTGTATCCTCGCGAGTGTGCGAGAAACACCGATGTGCCCTGCTGTCGGATCGTCGTGCAGGGTCTGCAGGAGTTCTGGTCGCAGAGCTGAAGGCACCACAAGGAGGTACTTGGCTTGAAGCGGTGAAAAGTTTTTCTTTTGGAGAAGATCGTTTCGCAGGAAGAACGACGCAAGTGCGCGCTTGAATATCTTCGGGACTTCGGCGGTCCTTCTTTCGAGGTATTCTATCAGGGCCTTAAGTTCCAAGTCGGCCCGTTGTCATTTAGCGAAGTCGTCGGTAGTTATCGTTCCCAAGAAGTAGTCGTCATCCGGGTCGTCGGGTGGTGGTTGGTCGACAGGCGCACGAGAGAAACAGTCGGCGTCAGAGTGTTTCCTGCCGGGCTTGTAAACGACGGTAATGTCATATTCTTGAAGTCTCAGACTCCATCGCGCGAGGCGACAAAAGTCCTTCAAGGTGGCTAGCCAACACAAGGCGTGGTGGTCGCTCACAACATTGAAGGGCCTGCCGTAGAGATAGGGGCGAAATTTCGACGTAGCCCAGATGATGGCGAGGCACTCCTTTTCTGTTATGGAATAATTGGCTTCTGCTTTGGATAGCGATCGACTGGCGTAACTAATAATCCTTTCAAGTCCGTCAGCCCTCTGCATAAGAACGGCCCCAAGACCTACGCTGCTTGCGTCAGTGTGTATTTCTGTCTCGGCGAATTCGTCGAAATGAGCAAGTAACGGAGACGTCTGGAGGCGATGTTTAAGCTCCTGGAAAGCGTATTCCTGCGGCATTTTCCACTTGAACTATACATCGGCCTTGGTAAGGTTAGTGAGTGGATCGGCGATGCGGGCGAAGTTTCTCATGTCTCATGAACCGCCTATAATAGGCGCACAGGCCCAGAAATCGGCGCACCGCCTTCTTGTCAGTGGGCGGCGGGAAGTCGGTGATGGCGGCTATTTTCCGTGGATCGGGACGAACTCCAGAATTGATAATCACGTGTCCCAGAAACTAGAGCTCCTCGTACGCAAATCTGCACTTTTCTGGCTTCAGTGTGAGTCCGGACGTCTTGATGGCTTGAAGTACAGCTTCAAGGCGCCGAAGATGCTCATCAAAATCCGAGGAAAACACGACGACGTCGTCAAGTACACAAGACAAGTTTGCCACTTCAATCCTGCCAGTAATGTATTCATAACGCGTTGAAAAGTTGCAGGCGCTGAGCAAAGGCCAAAGGGCATCACCTTAAACTCGAAGAGGCCATCCGGTGTTATAAACGCCGTCTTCTCTCGGTCTGTTTCATTGACTTCGAGTTGCCAATAGCCAGTATTGAGGTCCATTGATGAAAAGTATTTGGCGTTATGGAGTCGATCAAGTGTGTCGTCTGTTCGTGGGAGAGGATACACGTCCTTTCTTGTGGTTCTGTTCAGGCGGCGATAATCGACGCAGAAACGTAGGGTCCCATCCTTTTTCTTTACTAACATCACGGGGGACGCCCATGGACTCTTGGACAGCTGGATGATGTCATCCCGCAGCATTTCATCAACTTGTCTCTTCATGGCATCAAGTTCTCGCATGGAAACCTTGTACGGACTCTGAGGAAGTGGTCTGGCATTTTCTTCGGTTATGATGCGATGTTTCGTGATTGGGGTCTGCCGAATTTTTCATGACGATGAAAAGCAATCTTCGTATTGCAGGATCAGGCCAATGAGCTGTTATTGCTTATGGTTCAGAAGTCTGGGATTGACGTCAAAAGCTGTGGGAGGGGCTTGGATCCTCTGAGCAGGTTCCGCAGAGTCTGCGAGGGCGAAAGCACTGATGGCGTCCACAATTCCTTCGATGTATGCGACCGTTGTTCCTTTGTTCACATGTTTGTACTCATTGCTGAAATTCGTGAGCATAACCGTTGCTTTGCCTGCCCGCAGCTCTGCAATTCCTCTTGGGATGCAAATATTTCGGGTGACCAACAGATGCTGACTGCCTTCAACGACGCCTTCCAAGTCAGGTGATTTAAGAGCGCCACGTAAGGTATAGTTCAAACATATTACACATACACTAACTTAACAAAAGACTATTATAAATCATAATTGTGTCAGAACAATAAAAACACCTACAAGCACAAACGTGAAACACTAGTCGGCAACTTCAGCATAGACATTATGAACCTTAAGACCTAGCTTCACCCGCTCGACATTATTCACTTTGCGAAGTTGCCTAAATTTTCTTTCTGTAAGAATTGGCCACTTGGTGACAGCTTGTATATGAAAGGTGCGGAAGTGTGCGAATGGAGTTTTATGCGAGACTGCAGGTGCTTTGTTGATGTATGGGGCGACGTATTTGGTTGTGTTAATGTCAGCAGACCACTAAACTCCTTACCGTGTTCGGAAAGCAGTTGCCGTGCCCCTTTATTACCGCATACGCTGGATCAACACCTAGGACTGCTCTCACATATGCACTTATCTCGCAGGCCGTGGCGTCTAATAAGGCCGAAAGTGAGATGAAGCCCTCGGCGTTTGCGAAGCGCCTTGTGCCAAAGGTCGAGTGGGAAGCGAAGGCCAAGACCACCGGAGCGTGCCGCGGGGCCGCCAAGAAGGCGTCCAGCGATGCTGCTGTCGATGGCCACGGGGATGTTGGGGACGGCAACGCTGCAACATTGACCGGCATCACCAGTCCTGGCGGCCTTGAATGGGGAACAAATTCCGCACCCGCCAAGGCACCACTGCGTAAACAAGGAGGCACCACTAAGGACACGTCTTTCATGACTAAAAGAAAGTTTAACAAGAGAAAGAACTCTCGGTCGGGCTTCGATTCTTCGGGGAATGACGAGCCGCCCAACAGCGTGGGTTCAGACGACGACCTCGAGCCCGTGGCGGGCCCTTCGGTAAGCGCAACGCACTGGTTGTAAATACGAAGCACTGGTAACAATCATAAAGTATAGACACCATGGAATAGATGGGAAAAAGCACGTTTTCTTTGTGTCGCCGAAGTCCCAGCTTTTTCCTTTCGCCTGGTTGTCTAAATGTAACAGTGGATGGAAAGAAACGTGAACAGTGGGGCACACTGTTTTCATCACACTCTGACCACAGTCGTGCACGCACACACGCCTACACACGTACGCACGCAAAATTCATAATGGTTCTTGATTGCATAATGAATGACACTAGTGACTTTTTATTAACAACCAGTCTAGAGCCGCTTGAAAAGTAATGCAAAACAGGGGATGATGTAGATCCCGCACTGCTTGCGTTTCTTCCCATCGCCATTGTACATGCATCTTAGCTCCTGCTTAAGTAGGTATATCACTAAATTAGAAATGGAATTAGCATGAAACCAAAGGCGGAGAAGGTATGCATCATTGAGATAGTTGGCGGGTGGAGGTCCACCTCAAATGACAAAGCCTGTTGAAAAGCAAACAATGGCGTGGGCTTCAATAAAGATATGCTGAACGGCACTTGTGCATGACATTAGAAACACAGGAAGAGTATAATGTAAGAGATGACTGCCGAATGGGGCTATCTGATAAAAAAATGAATTAAGAGACTTGCAGTAGGTGCACTTTTACCTGCAACTAATGTTTATTTCTGGTCATACAAGTACTTTTATAGCGCCAACACAGAACAAGCGCTGGGGCCGCTTGCAGACATGTGTATACGATTGAGCGCCCTGTCCATCGCCACTTCTATTTTTAGAGGAGGCGCTGGCACTGTCACGCTGTACAACAAGTTCGCCATAACGGTGTCGCAAGCAACATTTGATCACAACAGCAGTGAAATCACGAGCACAGCGTCAGTTTCTTTGAATGTGTATTGCCTCAAGATACCTTTGGGTATGCGTAAATGACGGGATGGACTAGCTGTACAGAGACGCAGGAAAATTCGCACTTGCTTTGTACTTCTCTTGTTGTGTGTATTTCATATGTTTTCCCAGTGGACATAATCGATAGTGAGCCAAGGTTGGAGCTAGACGCCAGCAAACTGTTTTATTTTCAGACAAGGTCATTGTTTATGTGCTCTGTGGTTGACGTCCAGCATATACTAAAGAGAGCTCACAGAAAAGACATGAAATGTAGCAGGGATTTGTCTGTCTGTCTGTCTGTGTGTGTGTCTGTCTGTGTGTGTGTCGTTTCTGTGTCTGTCTATGTGTGTGTCAGTCTGTCGGTCTGTGTGTCGGTCTGTGTGTCTGTCTGTGTGTCTTCTGTGTGTGTGTTTCTGCGGAATAGTGTCCCCACTTCGACGTAGTGTACTTGCGAAAACGACAGGGGCCAAATGCTATTAGATTTTGTCGAGAGATCTTTAACAAGTAAAAAAAAGCTGGTATACAGAGTGTTCAAATTCAAGTGGGAGTTTTTTGCTGACCAAATCGTCTTCTTGATTCTTTCCCACAACTTCTTTGGTGTATCACTGCGTAACTTCGACCATCCCGCCTTACCAACTTTCAATTTCCCCGCACGCTACGCAGCATCGCCAGCAACGTGAGGCTCCACAACGAGCACACCCTTGGAAGAAGCGCGGAGCCGCGGCTAACACAAAGCAGCCGTGACGCCACCGGTGACGAAAGTGACACGGACTTCATCAAGGCACCCGCCAAGAAACCCGGCACAGTTTCTCGGGCACACAAGAAGGCTCCGGCAGATGACTCCGAGTCCGACCTTATGTCAGGCTCCGAAGAAGGCAACCAAGAATATGACGGTCCTGTCGTTCCTCCTCCCCTTCGGTCGACGACGACGTGCCTGCCGTGCCGCGTCCAAGTGCCGCCAACCGAGGCCGCTCCAGGGCAGCGCCGGTAAACTACAATTTCGGAAGCGAGAGCAGTGACTGATTCTGAAACGCCTCATGTGCTGAGTAAACTGTGGTATACTGCATTCTGATGCTTGCGCCTCCACCTATGCATAGAAGAGCCATGTGTGAGCTTCGTGGCATGTACATCACATTGAATGGCAGTGTGACTGATTTACATTTTTTGCCGCCTTCATCATTGTGACTCTATAATGTTCTGGAATTCTACACGCGAGGGCAGTGGCCACCTTGGTGACAAGTGTTCCTTATCCTACAGACTGTCTCAGTGTGCAAGTTTGCGCTCTTTTTTTTGTGTCCGGATGTGACATCTACTTATGGTTTCACCTAGCAGAGGACCCTTTGTGAGAGATGTGCGGTAGAGGTTTTGCTGGCTGGCTTTCGTCACTGAACGAAGAAAGCAGAAGGAAATTACCGAGGATGTGCCAATTTTCCATATGCATTCTTTTTTCGGCTCTGTAGGTTCATGCACCAGGTCAATGACATTCTCACTGTCGAAGCAGATTATAGGGTGCCTTATCGCGCTAGGTACCCAAGTGCTGCAATTTTAAGATCTTTAACCAGTTTTATATGCATGTTAAATCACGTTTACTTCTCCACAATGGAGGAAGCCAGAATAATCTGGCTGCTTTTTTTTTTCCTGCGGCGATTTTATATTAGTTCCAGTAGGTGCCTCACATAGCTAGTGTGCTGGCGACCTCTCCTGCTCATTTACAACACCTTGCAGTTATAATCAAGTTAAGTGTTTTACCTTTGTCAGTACTGGCTTGCTATCAGTCGTAATATATTTGCAACGTATTTAAGGATCCAGCCTCTTTTCTTGTTCTGTTTGTCAGTTATTTGCATTGTAATGAAAAAGGACCCTGTCCAGTTCTTTCCGCTACTGTCTTGACGCCGCTACCGCTTTAAGTCCAGTGTTCACAGTAGAGCATTTATTCTTATTTAGCTCAACACACGTTAACGTTCTAGATAGCATTGTCATATGCGAAGCATATTTCACGGTTGCCATTGTTGATATAACTGCAAAAGTCAACACGTCAAAATTATATCGTCATGCTCGTGTGACAGTGTCACTCACTCATCGAGACAATGATCGATCATGTGTTTCTTTCTGAGAGGGTGCGGCTCTATAAAGTAACAGGTAACAAAGAGGGTAACTTACACTGTGTTTTTTCGGATTATATGCGGCTGCGATGACACACCTGACACAGGTCTATCGGACAGGGCTGTTCGGGCTGTTGTACGCTTCTATAGATTTTGCACGTCTGTGCAATTTCACAGAAAAACATCACTCGGGATACTTGCAGAGTCTGTCTACGACGCATTTCACGGCGTCGACATGATTGTACGAATTGAGCCGCAGATATCACAGGTACGTAACCGTATCGTCCACAGCAGGATGTTGATGCATTATCGCAAGCGTATTGCGGATGAAAGTGTCGCCCAGGTCACCCTGGTCGTTTGCAAAAACAACTTTGGCAAATTTGTTATATGCGAGGATTTACGGTTGCGATTCATGGTTACGTATTTTTTACACCCGCGTATTTGAATATTGTAGCCTGTAGAGCCTCTTGCTGAACTGGGTCTGTCCTTGCATTAGTACAAATTAAAATGTGCATGTGGGACGTAGGCTGCAGCATCGATGATGCCATTTCGCAAATGAGCTACATTTACGTGGTTAAGATACTTCATATGTTTTGATGAGGTTCTCAAAGCTGGAGCTGCACGTCAACAGAGCTCATATGTTCATTTCATAACCCTCCTGCAGTCCCTGCAACTTCCTCTGTTGCGGCCTCCACTTGTGAACATGCAAGAGGCGTCCTGACGCGCTGTTCTCAAAGACAGCTTGTGCACCTGCTGCGCTCGTCATCACGTGATCATAGATTGTGGTGGCACGCTTTAAGCTGAGACATAGCTTCCTATTTTTTTCGGTACCTGGGCGAACGCTCTTTTTAGGCTCTTCAAAAATAGAGGAAGCACTGGCTGAGACGACTGGGTGAAGCCAACGCACCGTTATCATAGACCAACCACAGTTTTCGCTAGATTCACAAGAATCTCGGGCATCTGTATTCGTGTTTGTCTCAACTGCAGCATTAGAAGCAGTAATGCAACCAAGGACTTTGATCGCCAAAACTTCTAATGTACCTTTTTTAGGTTCTTCCGTTAAGTAATTTATGCTGGATTAATGGAACATGAACAAATCGTGCCAGAAGCCCGTGTTTTGTACGATTCTCGAGAAATTATCTGACTGCGTGTACAAGCGCATTAGCTACCAGCTCAGTAAATGAAATGCATAGCTGCAGATACTATTTATATAGCACTGCAACAGCAGGCCCCGCCGCGGTGGTCTTGTGGCTAAGGTACTCGGCTGCTGACCTGCAAGTCGCGGTTTCAAATCCCGGTTGCGGCGGCTGCATTTCCGATGGAGGCGGAAATGTTGTAGGCCCGTGTGCTCAGATTTGGGTGCATGTTAAAGAACCCCAGGTGGTCGAAATTTCCAGAGCCCTCCACTACGGCGTCTCTCATAGTTATGTGGTGGTTTTGGGACGTTAAACCCCACATATCAATCAATCAATCAACAGCAACAGCAGCAACTAATGACCCTAACATAGTCGTCAATAGGTAGTCCAGCTATGGTCCCTAGAAAACTGGCTAGTCTGCCGCTCTCCACCGCGTCTGTGCCGATGAACCAGCGGCACGGCCACGTCCGAGCCGCTGGTTCGTGCACTGGCGGCCAGGGGGCGCCGCAATCTATCGAAGTGCCGTGATCACGGACCATGCACCATCGGCGCGGACGCGGCCTTCCACGGGGACAGCCCGGAGACGGCAGACTATCCAGTATATTTTAAAGACCGTAGTCCAACGTGGGACCCTCAGAGTTGCCACTTCCGTCTATGGGAGAAGAGCGCTGGATAGGTGGCGCGCCGAAAAATAGCACCTGGCGGAGAGTGGCAACACAACTCAGCCGCTCGCAGCCAGACAACTGGCCACCAGTGTACATCTGTGAGAGCACGCACGTGCGCCGCTTCATTTTGGAACGAACAGCTCGAAAACTCATTGCGCCAGTTATAATGCACCACGGTTTAGAAAAATAGCTCGGTCCGAAGGCTACTCTCACATGAAAAACGAATAAAATCCTTCCAAAGCGGACTGCGTCTATGCATACTGGCATCGTAGGGTCGGTGCTGTGCAGTGATGCCATCTCTTTCGTCCTCATTTTCTAGTTATGTGCTGAGTTTTGTGTTAAGCTAGTGCGGGCTTACATGCCCACATTGATAAGTTTGTGCTGTCATGATTATCACGCTGCCTCTACCTGCAGTAAATAAAAAAAGATAGGGAGTCGTAGCTGCGTTTATTTTTTCTGCGGCATCGTACGTACGCCCTCTCCGCAGTGTGTATGCGCGGGGACGTTGATAAAGAAAACCGCCACTGGCAACATAGCACGTGTGGTATCGCGCTGTTATGCATTAAGGCGTGGGTTAGATTCCCGACCACTACGGCTGCTCTTCAATTGGGGTGAACCACACAGAACACCCGTAAACCAACATATATGTGCACAACATATATGTGCGCATATATAGTAGTGATGTTTTCCAATGCGAAAGAACTCTGGTGGTCGGAACTTTTGGGGTTATTTACATGGCGAAATACGAGACGATGCCAGAGCTAGTGCAATGACTTGCATGGTATTTAACGTCTTCTCAATACATTGGCTGAATGTACGCTTTAAGGCCACTGTGTGAGCCCTTGATAGCAGCCGGTAGGTGTGACAGCTTGTAATGGCCCATGAAGTATACACGTAATATCGTGTCCCATACGCAGTATACTAGAGTATACAAGTTGTCCTTTGACACAGTTACGTATACATATCACTCTTGACACAATAAGTGTATGTGCACGTGGGAAACGACAGCAGAAGGAACAAACTGAACGAACATCACGCAACATTTTCCGCTCAGAGAGGTTGCGTAGCGCAATCTCCAAGCTGGACAAAACCCATCACAACCTGTGCCCAAATTCGGTATTATGGGACGGTAGCATTATCGAGATTGATGCAATTTCAATATTGATTGAAAGAACTTTATTGCGGCTGATTGGGATACAGCTTTATTATTACTTGAATAACTTTACGCTAGTGAGAAAACAGCCCCGGACATATTCGCCAATCTACAGGCCACAGCGGTTTGTGGCTTGGGCTTAGCCGGTTAAAGATGGTGCGTCCCAAATGCTTGTCACACGTAAAGGCCAATTCATTTTCTCACCAATGTGACGTATTCTTGTGGCTCATACCCATTTCTTGGGCTGTGTCCTCCTTGATAGATTGATATGTGGGGTTTAACGTCCCAAAACCACCATATGATTATGAGAGATGCCGTAGTGGAGGGCTCTGAAAATTTCGACCACCCGGGGTTCTTTAACGTGCACCCAAATCTGAGCACACGGGCCTAAAACATTTCTGCCTCCATCGGAAATGCAGTCGCCGCAGCCGAGATTCGATCCCGCGAACTGCGTGTCAGCAGCGGAGTACCTTAGTCCACTATACCACCGTGGTGGGGCGGCTGTGTCTTCCTTCATTTTCAGTAGACCAGGGGTAAGCAGTTGAACTTACCCAATTTACGTGGTGTATACCGTTTATGATGATGATAGTTATTTGATATAGGCCGCATATATTTGCCTTGCACATACCCGTTTCTTGAGCTGGGTCATTTTATTGCGATAGCAATTAGATGGCCACTCTCGACAGGATTTTGCCGCCGGCGCCAACATGGGCGTCGCCGTCACTCCCCCTATACGTATACGTATCTATATATATGAAAATGCAAGAAAGAAAAAAATGCAAAAAAAGACTCCAGCCGCGGTACCGACATTGGGTCTTCTGAATTGTTAGTGCGAGGCTTCAACCACTGAGCCACCGAGGAGCACGTCCTTCAACGTTCAAACGGCAAGCTATTCAAGTCTACCACTTAATGCAGCTGGCGGACACCTTGGGGGGGGGGGGGGGCGATCTCGTGTTTTCATCATTAACAACCAAATTGCACCATGATCACGCGTAGCAACATCGTCCCGATGCAGTGGCTACGCGCTCATCTCCCGCGCACACTTTGCACCGTAAAGAGCAGGAGGTATACGCTCACTAGCACCCTTATCTCTCGTGTAGGGAGCATCGTACGTCTTCGGTGGCGTTCGCATTTTACCGGAACGATTGTTTTAGTTACAGGGCGCAAAAAGACCACTGCGATATTTGCACAGTGTATACGTTCGCGGAAAGCGCGCGCTTTTCAGACACACCGAAGTAACAACTGAGACACTTATTCTCGTTAATGTGTACTTGAGAGTTCATTTACTGCGTCATTTTTATCTTTACTGCGTCATTTTTTAGGGCACATTTTTATCTCCTGGCCATTCTGCACGTGACCTTCCAATTTGTTGCTATCGCGTTCATTGCTTCCCTTTCGTGGCAATGCTGTGATTTTTTGTATTAAAATGGTGAAACAGGAGAGGTTGGTGCCATTATAGTGGCACCGGCTACTCCTTTTCTATTAGTACACAAGATATGCCATAAGATAAACAATAACGGCACAAAATGCGAGACTGTACAACATACGATGTGAAAATACACAATAGCCAAACGTCACAGGTCAGGTAACATACGGCTAATAGGTTCATATTTTCTACACACAAGGTCAGTTCTCATCACATGACAATGCAGATACGCCTCATATGTACAAAATTTTCACACAGAAAGTCAGTTCACAAGGGAGCCAAATGATTACACATACCAAACACGCTATCTAAATATTACCCATTTTCTTTATCATGAAGGCGACATCACATATGGTAGGTCAATATCTGAATAAAATATCTCCATAAAACAAACTTCTTGAAGGCGATGAGCGTTTTTTTTCTGAAGACTTGCAGTTGGCCATGGACCTAGTATTTTTGTCCCTATGAAAGGCCTCCTATCTAAAAGTTGCAAACTTGCGCGTAGTACTTTACTTTGTGTCTCATATTTCGGGCACTCCAGGAGCAGATGACGTACATTATAGTCAGGTAGCCGCTAGAGCACTCTGTACTAGGCGCACATTTTATCATGTGTAGGAAGCGTCGCATCAATGCTGTACCAAGCCGTAGGTGATAGACTAATGTTTCCAATCTCCTATTTACTCTTAACTCTGAATAAATGCTTAGTTTTATGCAAGGGTATATTAAATATAATTCTGAACTTTTAGATTTTTTGTTGAGCCATATGTATTTGGTGACGCTACAGGTCATCTGTCCAAAGAATAGACGCGTTTCTGTGCGTGAAATCGGCAGAGCGATTCTCTCCTCGTTATTGTGGGCCCTAATTGCCGTGGTAGGCGTTGCAGTGTTTTCTGGAATGCTGCAGTGACCTGGTATATATTGAAATGCAATCACATGATTCATTTCTCTTGCTTTTGCGTGTTCTTTTAACGTCTCATATAACAAAGAAGCGTTTAGAAAGAGTTTTCTATCACTTTGCAGCGACGCTTAAGAGCAGCCTGCGAATCACTAAATATGACCCATTTTTGTGCCTCTTTTCTGAATGTTATCAAGCGTAGCGCAGATAGAATTGCAAACAGTTCCGCAACAGAATATAGACGACATCGCACGACATAATTTAAATGTCTGCTCTATTACCAAGTATGGAATGACAAAAGCTGAAGAGGACGAATTTGCATGACAAGAACCGTCTGTATAAATGCTAGTATGCTGCGGATATAAGAAATAAATATGAAATAGTGCCACTTACTGCGCGACTGTGACGAACATGTCGTTTTTAGATATTATTTTATCGGCCAAAAACCGTATTTTTGGTCTTGACAACATCCAAGAATGGAAATTGATATCTAGTTTTTTTATCTCATGGCTTGGTGATAAAGCTTTATGTTCCTGAACAATATTGTGTAGCTTACATTTTTTTCTTTCTGCAAGTGAGAGGTTCAATGGATGTGTCTCATGCTGAGTTGAAATACGAAAAACACGGCGACAAGTTTCGACCATTAGAATTACGGAGAATGGCAGATGGCGAGCTTTGGCGATTACGAGAGAACACGATGTTGCCTGCGGGACTCCCATGTCTTAACCCCTCTTGCCAGTGATCTCTGAAGACGCTCCTCTGTAGTTTTCTATAAATCCTGGAGAATCAATGCTGAATAAGCAATATTTTGCTTTATTAGTGCGTTATGCACTTGCAGTAGTGAAGAGACTGATTCCCTCCCATGTTGTGCCAGCGATTCAATGTAGTACGTTTATGACTATGTTGACCTGTTTTCTAGCACGCAAATGTGCGTCTATCAAGGGTAACACCAAGAAATTCATGCTCTTTCACCAAGGTTGACGTCTCTCTGTCCAGTGTAAGTTTGAAATTGCTCATGTATCGTCTAGTGAAAGGTAACACCGTTATTATCGCGTACGAGAAACTCGCGCCCCCGTTTTTCAAAAACTTGTTTACAATCTCAAGACCACGTCTCAGCACTACTTGAAGTTTGCACATTTATGGTCCTGAGGCCCTTATGCAGATGTCATCTGCGTAGAGTGAATACCTAAATACAGTTGGTAAATTTCCCGGTGACGCCGCCTTAACACAGGTAAAGAGTAGTATGCATAGAAGACTTCCTTGTGGATAGCCCTGTGTGACGGAATGATATTTACTTTGTCCTGTTGTTTCCATGTATATTATCCTATCGCTCAAAATTTTGAAATACATCGCAGTGATCGACCACATAGTCCAAGTTCTAACATCTTCGCCAGGACATGAATGTGAGTAATGGAGTCGAAAGCCTTCTGAATGTCAATAAATACCGCAGTTGTGATGTTTCCACACATGTGTCTATGCTCAACACATGTCAGAATATTTACAATCGCATCCATTGTGCAACGCCTTTCACGAAAACCTGTCATACAGGGTGTGTGAAGAAATGTGTCCAATATTGTGTTTAAGAATCAGCAAAAGACGCTTTTTGCTCGCTGTCTTCAGAGTTGCTTTTTCTATAGCGGCGGACATCTTAAGAGGGCCGAAGACATCATTAGGAACAGTGATTAGGAAAGCTAAATAAATAACTTTTTAATTAGTGGAGGCAGGCAGTTAAGTCAAATGAGAGAATTGAAGTCCTTGATGCGAAGGATCC